AAAAAAAAAAAAAAAAAAAAAAAAAAAAAAAAAAAAAAAAAAAAAAAAAAAATGGCACGTTTAACACATTATTATCAAGCAAATCAAACGGTAAAATTATTATAAATAATAATATTATTTGATATGTAAGTCACTTAAAGAATTTTCAAGTTAGTGCGAAAAATTGTTTAATTAAATTTTGATATTAATTAACAAATTTCAATCGGTCAATAGATCAAAGAATATAAGTTTGCGCACGTGTGAAATGTATATTGGCGACTTTTCAAATGATCTAGTTTCACTTCTAACCCAATTCAGCTTTGTCATAAAAAGGCAGAAGAAGCTCCATCTAGCCATCAGTTCTGAGAGATCTTTCGCAGCACAATGAAGATCAGTTGTAGTGGTAACAAATCATAATAACTTCTTGACTATATACACATATCTAATCTATATAATCTAATCTATAATCTCAGTTATATTCCTGGTGCTTTGCACGGCATGGATGTGTTCAGTAACTCAAGGAGCTGCGCTGAAAGGATCTGCCACTGAAAAGAATGTGAGCGGCACAACAGAAGGCAATGACTTGGCATTGGATGGAGTTTTAAAAGAAGAAGAGGAATCAGATGATGAATCAGATGATGAATCAAATGAATCGCCTTTGACAAGCGACGATGCGGAAGAAGAACTGGCAAGGCAACTTGAAGAAGCCAATGAGATCGAGCCAGAGATTCGTCCCACCAAGAAAACCCCACAGGCGCACATCAGAAACTCTGCCGCTCACGCTCATCGTCACCCCACTGAGACCGGTCTTATGCCGTATTATGCCCCCATGACATATGCAGCACCCGCTCCTATGCCTTATGCAGCACCCGCTCCTATGCCATATGCAGCACCCGCTCCTATGCCTTATGGAGCGCCCGCTCCATTGCCATATGCCATGCCATATTCGCAGTGCCCCTTCAGCCAGCCGTTGTACTACCCGCAGCCCATGTATCCGCCTTATCAATATGCACCCCACAATCCCGTCCTCAAGGCCGCAATAGACCCCACGGATACTACCGAAGTGGTCAACATCGACCAACTACTGAAGATTGCCAATTTCTGGAGTAAACAAAATGTCACGAAGGTCTACAACAAAAATGAGACCACAAAGGGCCGAAAACGTTTTGGCATCAGGAACTGGATTAAAAACAAGGCCAACAGGTTCACGACTGCTAAGCCAACGGAATAAACCGAATATTTGTTTAATATCGTGTTGCACCAAGTTTGCTCTTTGTCATTTTCTTATTCATTTGTAATTGTCTTATTATTTACTTTTCTATTTATTTTCAATTAATTAACAAAAAATAAAAAATGAAGGTACTTTCATAATAAGTAAAATTGGCTAAATTTCTCAAATTTGTAGATCAGTAGAACGGAGTTTCTCATTAACCAGTTTGGATTGGTTTCATTTTAGAACTTGCAGCAAAAACTTTTTATACCAATGCTGGATCTTTTTTTTCTTTTCTTTAAACAAATTTTAATTTTAATGCAGGTTTTGTCCTTAACTATATAGCGATATGCTGGCTCTAGCGTTCTGAGATAGCTTGCTGGAAGTTTAAAAGTAGTTTGCCCAGCATTTTTATATCCCATTGCATATTTCATATAAATACATTATTCATATTATCCACCCACTACAGACTGTAGTTCCAGGCTATCACACCCTATAAGCCCATCATATATACATATACATATGAATAGTCTTGCACAAGTCTTAAAAAAGGAATTGCAAGACATATTTATCTCAAGGTACCTTTGGTTGGATCCATATGTAATAATCAAAATAATGGTCTCATTTAATGTCAATATTAAAATATATCCTCAACTA